CTCGCCAGTCATGACCTCCATGAATTCTATAAAGAGCGAAAATACAAGCAAACACTTATACATTATACATCTTTCAGAAAGTAGTTCACCACCACTCACCATCAAAATCAACCGTTCCGGAGCCATCAGAATCGATTTCCTCAATCATCATGTCCAAATCGTCATTTGTCAACTTATCATCCAATTCACGCAGAATTTCACGCAGCACACCGGTGGTGATGTAACCGTTGCCCTCCTTATCGTACAAACGGAATGCCTCCTTCAGTTCGGCCTGCATCGCTTCAGCATCCTCTTCAACAAGGAAACGCGCCGCCAATGTGGTGAATTCTTCGAACTCAATTTGTCCCGAACCATCTTCATCGACTTCAGCGATAATTTCGGCAAGCATGGCATCGTCTAACTGATGGCCCAACATACTGAGAATGGTGCCCACCATGGCGGTGTTGATGTAGCCATTCTTCTCGGCATCGAATGCATTGAACGCGTTACGCAGCACTGTAAAAGGGATGGTGAGTTCAATGAAATTTACATTACACAACGATGTTTTAGAGGAAGGAGAAATTAAAAAAAGTATTTTCTTAAGGATATATCGACCCTTGTTCATATAGACGGACGACACAGGATTTCTAATTTCACGCGATGAAAGAAATTTAGGTTAGGAAACTGCATTTCAGGTGGCCAAAATATTTTTAATCGTTAGATACTTTTCGTTTTTCAAAAAGTATAACAATACATACGAGGCATTCTTCGTCAACTGAAACTCGTCTCACTCTAAAAGTGGTTCAGGTAAAAACAAATCGTTTATTTTCTTGCAAATTTGGTAATGCTCTTAAATAGTGAGTGGCATTTTTTTTTAAATACAACATGGCGGATCTTATATGGCGAACAAGGTTTTGAAAAATTGTGGGATTCACTTGCGATATGCTAATAAATTTTTAAATTTTTCATTTTTTCAAAATGGCGGATACATTTTTTTACCATCCTCTCTTTAAAATTGGTTGAGGTAAAAAGATGGGTTATGTTCTTAAAAATTCGGTAAAAATTGAAATTTGTTATTCACGGGTCGCTGATTACGAATATGATCATTAAATTTTAAAATTCCAAATGGCGGATCCAATTTGGAAAAATTTATAAATACATTCGAGACCAATAGTGAGATTTAATTCGAATTTGGTACCTACATACATATTTAGAAAATTTAGTCTTTTTATCCCGATATTAATGCATAAGTACCCGATATTTTACAGCGATACTTTAAATGAGTACCGTATCGATACTTTCGGTTTGATATCATATCCCTAAACGTCACGCAAAGCTGCACAGTGTTTCAGCCCCATATAGTTTTGGAGAAAATTAGATGGAGTTGGCGTAGGGCTTACTTTTTTCGTATGTAACCTCTAAGGACATAAATCATGAAAAAACTGAAAAATTCTTGTGATCGATTTATTTTAAAGCATGCGCGTCCGAAATTTGGTCCATATATTTATAATAATATTGCAAATAAACACGCTTAAAATTGCTGTTATCGGATTATTTTTACACACACTGCACCATTTGGCGATTACATTGAGAATTCTGTGGAAAGTTAGAGGTGGTGTTTATAAACCAACTTCTGATTAGGATGGCAATATAATCTGTACAGCCTCGAACATCAAAATACTAAATCTGGCTATTTCCTCGATTGAAAAAGTTTACGACCCTTTCTTTGTTCACCATGGACGATACTGAGCATTCTTTTTATTATATCGGACGTGAAGCTCATGGGTCGATATGACCTTCGTTGGTCTGCTGAAATCTCAGCTTGTAAATGTATAGAACCATCACACTCTGACAGACTCTTCCAATTAGTATACCATGAATAGTGGTACTGAGTAGGACAGGAGAGGGAAAGTGCTTCTGCGAAATGAACAGTAAAGATTTCATCTATTTCAGGCTATTTGAAAGCTGCAGAAATAGATATAACTCATTTTAAACTATCTTAATCGAACTGGCTTCTACAGATCCTCCAATCCTTTGTGCAGGGTCGATTTATGCCTTTTTGGATCAGGAAAATGCACTGCGGCTCTCGGGTTAAATTACACTGGTCTACAAATTTCAACTTTTTTTCTGCGAATAAGACGGGACCTGGTGTTTCTGAACGGATTTTTCGTGCTGAACACGAATCCGGGGTCAAAAATGTCCCATCACGTCACGTTTTCGAGAAAAAAGGGGTTGAAACCCCTAAAAACAGCGTTTTTGGCCATTTTCGAAAAATTATAGAGCTGAACCCTGACGTGGTACAAATTTTGCATATATCAGAAATTAAAGGCTAAACCGTGCCCTTTCGAATGAGCCCTATGCCGAATTGATCGCGTGCACCCTTAAAGCAGGGGGTGTATTTGTGTTTAGGGGTGCAGGAAAAATTGATCACAGAAAGAATTTAATCTTACGATTTGCCTTTAATTTCTGACATATACAAAGTTTGTAGCACGTCAGGGTTCAGCTCTACAATTTTTCGAAAATGTCCAAAAACGCTGTTTTTAGGGGTTTCAGCCCCTTTTTTCTCGAAAACGTGACGTGATGGGAAGTTTTGGACCCCAGATTCGTGTTCAGCACGAAAAATCCGTTCGGAAACACCAGGTCCCGTCTTATTCGCAAAACCCTTGTAGACCAGTGTTATCACAAGCAGCGATTAGTGAAGGATTTATCAGTATTATGCAGAACTTGCAGAAATGTCTTTGTTTTGCTGTACATAATTTATTTTACCAATTCCAGACTAGTTATTTTATTGAGTGAGGGCATGCTGGCGCATCCTTTGGGTCTATAATTCCCGACAAGTAAATGACAACTTTTTTATCCAAGCTTGGTTGGAATTGAAAATGAGCGAAAGCGGACGGTTGTCACGCCCAACTAACATATAACGATATTTTAGAAAAATGCAGTAACTTATTTTCGTAAATACGGGATCCAAAATGTTGGAAATTAGTTCGTGAAATAGAATATTTATCCATTTCTACCAGACTCGGTCATTGGGGTACCCGAGGTACCCTGCGGAATGCTTCTGAACAAATGGGCTTTAGTCGACTCAGCGAACGCTGGGAATTTACATCATTCAACTTTCACAGGCGATTAGTTGAACCAAAAGTTGAACGAAAGTAGGCAGCCGACCAACTTCATTGTAAGCGATTAGTTGAAAGGCCGTTTACACCAGGCGATTGTTGCTTTCAACTAAAAATCGCCTGAAAAATCGCCTCATGTAAATTCCCTATTAGACATACAAGGTTGCAAGGCCGTTTTGACCTGTAGGTGATCAGGGGCGTTCTAGGAAACTTCTCCAGCTTATTAAGAGACAACTCTTGGTTTTGGTGGCAGTTATAACTGGGCACTGCTTAAGGCAAAATTCATGCGTTACGCCTTAATAGAATCGCATCATGTGAAATCATCTCAGCACTACCTACCAGCTGCACTGCCTTTGCGAGGCTCAGGTTTAAATGTTTCGGATTGACTGCCTTATTTGCTTCAGCGGATCTTCATAACTAGCACCCAGCGTTTTTCTAACCATATTTGATAAACGCTTGTACAGTTCAAAGAAAATAATTTTTTGACATCGGACCAAAATTTTTGTCACTTTATATATAACAATATAATAAATATTATAAATACGAAACTCCGATATTTCAATAACTAAAGACCCAAGTTAATCTCGCAATAAGAAATACGGTTATTATAAACTTTCTACAAATGGAGGCGGCACCGCCCACTTAAGACGCTTGCTTCAATTATTTCATTCAGTCTAACTGAGCATATTATCGAAAATATTTAAAATCGGGGAAAAGCACCGCTGCTTATTATGCAGAAGTGAAAAAATGATATTCGGTTTAGCCCGAACTTAGCCTTCATTGCCTGTTGAGATTGTGTTTATTTTTATACCTTTCATGAGCATGAAATGGTATTATAACTTTGGTCCG